CTTGGGTGGGGAGAGGAAGAGGGATTCAGAGGGATGCTCAGTTCTCTACTCCTGCCATTGTACCTTGGGGCCAGCTCCAGTGTGGGGGGCATGAATGACTACAGGATACCAAATAGTAATGTACTGAGCTCTCCTGCTTCTGGCTGTTATTGTGAATACCAGACAGCCATTAGCAAGCCCCAACTACTGCAGACAATACACAGAGGGGTGAGTTACAGATACACAGGCTTGCTCCTCATTCTCTGACTCAGTTTACCACCTATGTCCTCATGTTGGTTAGTTTCCCAATACCCTTGGCTTGTGGGGATATTCCAAATGGTAGGACCCGGCTCTATCCAAGTGAGTGATCTCCTGGCTTTCTGTGGCTCAGACACCAGGGTACAGCCTTGTGTCTCCTCTGCAGGTCTCTCACACCTTCTTCTGCTCAGTCTCCCTTTACCAGGCCAGGAGATGGGGAAGTAAAAAGCTAAGGCCACAGAGCAGAGTTGAAGCAGCTCAGGATGCTCCACCCAGGGCTGCGGGCCTCAGCCTTGTAACAAACCAGGTGACTGGGATGGACTTGTCGCTGACCTTTGGCTTCTGAACTCATCCTCTGACTGATCAAAAGCTGGCCCCGTGTTCTAGGGCAGAGCATCCTGGCCCACCTCCCATCTCCATCTGAGACTCTTATTCAGAAAACTGGGGAGGGGGGAGCTTGTGATGGCTGAGAATCCATCAGTGACTTCATCCTTAGCTCCGGTTTGGGTCACTGGGTATCTGTCCCCTACCACCTCCTGGCTCTTCCTGCTCCTGGATCTATGAACCCACAGCTTCTGCTTCTGTCTGTGAACCCTAAGACATACAGGCTCAGTGGGGACAATATCGCCCCCAAGAGGGGAAATGACTTCTTAGTGGAGAGGTAACAGCCAAGAAATAGATAAAATCCCTCCTCTTTCCATCTACAAAACACCAGTGTGAGCCCAGGGTAGGAGGAGAAACTGTACATCTGCAGGATTTAAACCTCACGGGACAAATGACTAGGAAAGTTTCAGCAAAGTGTCCTTCCAGGAGTAATAATGAAAGAAGATAAAGAAGACCAGGCCAGAGGGCCACACCCTCTGCCACCCCTGTGTCCATCTTCAGTGACTGCCATCTGATGTACATGCTGATGTGTGTCCCTTCCCAGCTATCTTCTCTAGATCCTGTGAGCAACCTGGACCAGATGGCTTTCCTCAGCAACTTTAACTTCTCTGTCCCCAGAAGGCCCAGTGGCCACCGCCAGGCCTGATGCTTGAGGGGAAGGGCAGGCCTGCAAGAACCTGGGATTCACAGAAACCCACCTTTAAGGCCCCAGCCTTGGGTCTGACCGTTGGCCTTTTGCTGACATAGGAGTCAACTTTTGGATTGAGTCCTAACATCAGAAAGCAGGGCCTTGGAGGACAAGGGTGGGCCTCCTTCTATGTTACACACGAGACAGAGGAAGGACCTCTGAATGAAGGCACTCACCCCACTACCCCCCACCAGGCATTCTGCCAACAGCTTGGGGAGGATGGGGAGTGGAGGTGGAGGCGTTGGAGGTGGGGGTTGAGGGTGGAGGGGGTGCTGTCCTCACTGTCCAGTGTGTGTTTCAAGCCATGTGAGTCCCATTCATGGCCAGGGCAGGGCTGAGCTTTAGAATGAGTGCCCTAAAGTTACCGCCTGGGACGCCAGCATTTGGAAGACAAAGCACAAGGATCCTATGTTTGAAGCTAACCTGGGCTACATAACGAGACTGTCTCAAAGGGGGGAAAAGTGAGATGTAATGGCGAACACTTGTGCTACAGGATGGACAAGTTGAAGCAGGAGGCAGAGTCAGGAGGAGACAGCAGGCGCTGGAGCGGGGGAGTGCGTGTTCCACACTAGCACCCCAGGCAGTGAAGGGTGAGCAATGAAACTAATGGACCATAAAGTCTGGCTTCCCAAGCAAATGCCCGTGAGCAGAAGACCCCAAAGCACACAAGAAGAGAGAGAGAAGCAGGTCCCAGGGCCCCAGAGGGGAAACTGATGTCCTTAAATCCATCCCTAAAGTTTTCTGGAGAGCTTCCTGATGGGGGAGGGAAGCAGAGGTACCATCCTTCCACCTCGCAAGTCTCTGAAGGCCTCTGCCTGTCTCCTCTTTCCCCTATGGAGGCAGTAGTCCCTGGAATCCGAGAAAGGATGTGAAGTCTGCCAGGAAAACATGGGTCAGCACACATTTGCCTGATTCACATGGTTATTTCACTTCATGGGGTGAGACTATGGGTCTCAAGTGACTAATAAAAATATGGCAGAGTCAGAATTTGAACCCAGCCTATCCAAATTTAATTTGTATCCCAGTATGTGACAAAAGTCTACCACTGCTTCCTTCAAAGAAATCCACTGTTCAGAGCCTCTGCTCAGAGTCCTGCTCATTCTCTCTCTCTCTCTCTCTCTCTCTCTCTCTCTCTCTGTGTGTGTGTGTGTGTGTGT